AGATTACAATATCAGCCGGGACTTTTCCACCAAACATGCTAACTACGCTAGCTTCGAGGTTAGCAGGAGGCCGGCACTAAAGGCAAGTTACCCACTGGCACATAAATCAACGAAAGCGAAAGTTTTATTTGTTAGCACTGGATGAAGGCAGTGTCTGGTTGCATGTAGAGGCGGAAGCAACTTTGGTTGTAAAGTGGCAAATGTCACCCACAGATGGATCGCCAAATTTAACGGGGGGGGAAAAAAAATGTCGGACTGCTACCTCGACGTTGGAGGTAATTTTCCTTCATTGTATTCTCCACCAGGAAGCCTCGTGCAAGACTGTAGTGAACTTCACGCGGGCGAAGGGACTTTATCATCGATTCATCGATAAATCAATCAATCAAATAAGTTTGGTGAGAGTGTTTCAGCGAGTGTGGGAGCTCAGAACCGACGATTTTCCTGAGCTGAGCCACAGACTGTGTTTGCTGTGGACATTTTTGACATTTTGGATTTAAGCTTTATTTAAGCTTATTGATGAGCTCTGTCCAGGAGCGCCGTTCCCATTAAATCAAGCACTCAGGGGTGAGTTTATTTTCATTACTTTTTGGGAAACAGATTTCACATTCATGTGAATTTATGCTTGTTCATTTTTTTCACCCTCACCAACTTGTATTAGTGGCTCCTCTTTTTCAATTTCTAAAAAACCCAGTGTGGCCTATTTGCCCGTTATGCTGTCGGTCATGAGCAGTTCCTTTTTATCTCCACATTTTCCTCTGTCCATCATTTTGATGCAGGTTGATTTGTGTTTCAACAGTTCATTGAACTTTGTTCCAGATTTCTACTTGTTTGCACCTTGTGGTGAATCCTTTGCGGTTCTGGTAATGAAAGTTTTCTCTTGATCATTGACTAGGAAACACGTCCGCCTACATCCAGGAGAGCATTCTTGATTTGCAGTGCTAAAGGGGTTTTTTCTTCACCATGTTAATTATTTTCCTCAGTCCACCAGCTCATTTACCATTTTCTACTTTTTCTGTGTGCACCTGCTTCTAGAAACTATCCAACTGCTGATTTTGGCAAACCGACCTCAAACTAAATGGCAACTCTCCCTTTATTGTAGTAGTCATTATTTTATTGAATGTGCTGAAACACAGAGCCTGAAGAAGAAAACATGTAACTGTCCACACTGATTGTGCCTATAGGAAATACGTTTTAGTACAACCAATACATTGTTGGTTTTAGTATTATAATGGGATTTGTTGACAGTCGGAAATATATAAAATAACTCCAGACTAAATATTACAGATGACTAACTGAATGCAAGTATCTGTTAATATAAATTGTGAACAATACTGTACATCCCAAAGAACTGACCAGGGCACAGTGTGTTGTGGAATACTTGGCTACCTTTTTTAAAGGAGCCTTTAAAAAGATCTTTGATTTCTTTGATCTATTTCAACAATAGATATATTTACATGAAATGAAAAGACAAGTAAAGACAGACGTGTTTAAATGAAATACTCCAAGTTCATAATGTCTTACAGATGATCTTTGTCACCTTTATTCCCATACATGTCCATTCATTACAATAGTGGAAATCCATAATAAATAAGCACCATAGATGATCAGCAGAGAAATAAGAAACACTCACTTAATCATGAGACATACATAACAGGAAAATAAATGTCTCTTTTGAAATCAAAGAACCTGCTATAGATTTAGACCATCATATTGTGGACTGTGGTAGTTTATAGGCATAAGGCCGTAAAAGACAATTACCTTGTAAAGCTGTGCAATTAAAAAAGGGTAACTTAATCCTCTTGATTTCATTTTTCTTATTAAAAATAAAATTCAAAAAAAAAAGAAAAATACAGTCACATTGTTCAACCGAAAGCACACTTTCACTTATACTGTCACTTCAACTTCTTGAGGACATTCTTCTGATTGGTAATAAGATGCTTAAAAAAAAAGACATTTTCAGCAATGTAACCACATGCAATTCTCACAAAACAGATATCTGCAACTTTTCATTTTTGGAAACATAAAATGAATAATCCAATGGACCAGATCTGTAAAGCGCATCACAGTGACCTGATGTGATGTGGGTCTTTGTGATGTATCCCATAATGCATCACATGTTCAGCCTTGCCAAGAGCTGGAGTCAAAGTAAGACGACTGGAATCAGAAATGCGGTTTGAAGAACTGGAAGAAGTTATCTTTTTTTTTTCTCTTTGTTAATCGTTTCCATATTTTTTTTTCATCAGGCTGGTTTCATCAACAACACATTACATTCACTACTAGTTTACATTCTTAATTCAAAACTTCCATTCAATTCACTTTCACAAGAATTGGCACCTTCTATAGGGAGATCAAGTTATTCATCTTCAGCAGTTTGTTGCTACATTAAAAATAAAAGATAAAATAAAAAAAACAACAACAATGCAGCCACTGTGTGTACTATGGGCGAATATATGCACTACATCTCTGGACAAGCAAGCAACACTACATTTTTCCTATTTAACAACACTTCCCTGAAGGCACGACCAGGAAATTCCATTGTTTGTTTTTTTTTGTTTTTTTTTGAGGGCAGTGTTCAGCTTCATGTGCCAAAATCAACATGGCTTCCAGGCAGGCCATTCTGATTTTTTAGTGAGTGAACAGCTGAGGCAGTCCAGCTTTGGTATTTACTGTGTACCGTAAATGGTCTTCACCTACTGAGCCACATCGCCCTGTGTACGAGGCAGCATGCGCTAAGTCGACAATGCTTGAGTAATTGTTTTCATTGTCCCTGTCGTATCATCTGTACATTAAAGGTATATTGACATCTATTAGGTTCGGAGTGAACCGCAGACTGAGACTTTGTCATCAAATGGACATGGAAACCATGTAGATGGTGACGAGAGAGGCACTGGAAGGGCCTGAGGACAAAGAGGAGTACAGAGGCAGCTACAGAAAAGGTCCCACTTCACTGCTTCAGTTTTGCTCTGTTACCAGAAGGAATTGGGAAAACAGTTCCCTGAAAATGCTTTTCTGTTAACTCTGTGGTAAAACAGCAAGAAATGTCTGCAGTGAATAAAAGTGGAGGAACCTCTGCTAAAGCTATCACTGTTGTTAAAGAGTCAGTTTGCCCAAATTACAAAAAAATATTTATTTTTAAAACCCTAATTAGTACTGTCTAGCCATGGTAATAGCTTTGGTGTAATTTTCCTAGATTTTTAGATATCCGTCTGAGATTCTGGCCAAAAAATTGAGATAATTTGAATTCAATTTTTGGTTCAATTTTTGGTTCTGACAAGAAAAAGAAAAAAAAAATCACATTTAAAAAATATTTCAATTTAGCAACATCTCTTTCCAGAAACAGTAAACCTGTGACTCTGGATAATTACAGAACTCTTTTGTACCTTAAAACCCAGCCAAAGGAAAAGCAATTTGCTAGCTAGCTACCACTACAGGCACGTTAAAAATATGTTTTTGTTGTAATTTGGGTAAACTCACTGTACAGTTGAGAAAACAATTTTGAAAAACATTTGGGAACCAATTTTATTCGCTTGCTTGCTGAGAGTAAGATGAGAAGATTGATACTGCTCTTCTGTATGTATGCTAAATATTTCTTAGTGTCAGCCGCTTTCAGCCCTTTATCTGTTTGCTTCTCTCCTACTCTTTGCGCTCACATATACAGTGTTTTGATACAGCCGAAATTCCAGTAAAGCTGTTCTCATTTACATGTTTTTAAGTTTCTGTTGTCAGACAACGTAACAAGTATGAAATAGTGACTGAAACGTGGCCCATTGAGATAAATGTTAACCAGCAGCCACTTCCAAAGTGCTGCTCTGCTTGTGCTAAAATCCCGATTTTATAACTGTCCGACAAAATCACCAAAACCACAAGTTAAATTTGTCTGGCTATGTTGTAAAATGATCGCTCAGAGAGAAAGTTAGAAGCAACAGAATATCTTTCCTATTTTTTCCTCTCATAGTGGACAGCCTTCACACTGAACGTACTGCTCGGAGAGAGGTGTGCCGCTGACTCACGGGTCAATTCTGCCGACTGTCTTCCATTGAAAGTAGCTAAAGTTTGTCCAACAAGTAGCCACACCTGTTGCTAGGAGCTTTTTTTGAATAAAAGTCTCCAAATCCGGCAACAAAGTTACTAAGTTGGCAACACTGCTGAAAACACACTGCAGCGCCATGGCGCATCATATGCCGTAAAGTGGGAGAGAACCTGAGCTTCTGTGGGAGCTGGGAAATACAAAATATCCTTCTCTGGAAAAAAAAATGTGTTACTTTTATTCGGGGGGGGTTGAGGCTGGAACTAGGACAGTGGCGTTGCCGGGTGGCACATGGATGCACGCCATTCAACAGCAGTGGTGTTAGCAATGGCGGTTAACTGTAGGCAAAAAAGCGAATAAGAATATTTCCCAAAATGTTTAAGTATTCCTTCAAGATAAATATCAGATAAAGATAAATATCAGTCAGCTGTCTGCATTCAACATCAACATCTCTTAACAGGTCGTACAGTTTCAGCACTATATCTATTCATTTAGTGTCCTTGTAAAGTAGTGGTCAGTGCTCTCCAGTGCAGAGAATGTCAGAGAAATTACATTAAGTTCCACCAGTCACATACGGGCATCTGAACTGTTAAAATACTGCCTTCACAAGACAAACCCTGAACTCGTCAACAAGGAGTGTAATCACAGGAGTACTGTCTTAACGTTCCCATTTCACGCATGCTTAACAAAGTCAAAACCGCCTGGTGCATAATGTAGATGATGGACCACACACGTCAGTCCCAGTTTCATATTTACTTCCTTCAGAATTTCTTCTATCATCTTCATATCTCAGTTTCCTTTGAGTTTTGTCCTGAATGTACACAAATATGGCCTTTATTTTCTTGTTTTGTTCTTCTTTTGAAGGAATGCCCTGATGCACTGAAGAGGACGTTAAAAGACACTCAACCCCCAAAGTATAAACCCTGATGACGGCCACAGTTTTGGCCACAGACGGACAAGTGGCCTTGACATGTCAAATGTCGCTAGTCCTTGCACCCAGGGCCAGATCTCCCAGTGTGGAAAAGAAATCCTCCATCTCCTTCTCCAGGAGCCGGTTGCGGTTTTCCGCATCCTCTCTTGCTCGGTCAGAGTTTCGTAGTTTGATCTCCAGCATGCGTTGCTTCTTCTTTTCCTGCTCCATCTCTTGTTCCAAACGCTCCATCTGTGCACACAGAGCAGCACTGGACTCTTCCAGTCTGAGGAGATGCAGCACAACACAGAGAGAAAGCAAAGGTCATTGAAATTCACCTTTACTCTTTGTACAGTACTTTCTACCTTAAAACATTAGATACTACAACTGTTCACAGAGAAAAGCACGACAAAGGTTCCCAGAATCAAATCAAAGTGAGACACTGCAGTTACATGGAACTGCTCTTAGACCACCACAAACAAGCCCCTTGTTTTGCATCTCATTTACTTTTTAAAGACCCTCTTTTTTGTGGTTCGTCCAAAAGCTCACTAGATTTCTCGCTAGGTGCTTTTTAGGAAAGAAATCAAGACATATGCACCAAGTTGGCAGCAATGGGGAAACTCCAACTCAGTCATGTGGCATTCGGCTCAACAATGGTACAACTATGGTCAGTCAGTCAGTCAGTCAGTCAGTCAGTCATGGACATTTGGGATTGTAGCCCTGTTGTTCGGGTCCAGCCAGCCGAGCGTGTGGAGCAATGTGAGCATTTACCAGGCAGAGAGGGTCTAATAAAAAGATGCTACTGAGTTGCATTATGGGAAATGTAGGATCTAGTCTATAGGTGAATTTTACCCATACAACAAAGAAGGTGGTATAATGCGGTTTTGTGAGCATTTTTTAAAAATTTGACCCTTTCAGTTATAGTACTAGGAGATCCTAGTACACAGACTTACTTTTGTATCCTTGTCTCATAGGCAGTCTTCTGTTTCCTCAGCTCATCCTTCAGTCCTTCCACCAGACTGCTGAGTGTTAAATTTATTCCGTCCCCATCCTCAGACATGATAATAGACGGCACACCAGCTGCCACGGCCATGTTTCCATTCTCACTGCAGGCTGCACTGCTGCTGCACAGCTCCATGGCCTCGCAGCTGTCCTGCTCAGAGCTCGGGTCCGTCATCATCCCTCCATCCCTTCCTCTGTCAATCTCCCTCTGGCTCTCCATCCACTCTCCCTTTTCCCCACTTTCACTCCCTGCTCCACAGTTCTGGTTCGCCGAAGGCTCACTTCCAGAGTCGGGGACGGAGATCTCGCAGGAAGAGGTGGACCACGGTGTGCTGGACACGCTCGGTACACTCCCCATGCTGGAGGAGGATGTGACGTTGTCGTAGGTGGACAGTCTCTGTGAGGAGCCAGTGGAGTCGCGGTCACGGGCAGACCGCTCGCCTGAAGAAGTGCGTCGGTGTCCCCTCAAAGAGGACAAACCATTCATGAGCCAGTTACCTCCCCCGCCACTTCCACCTCCACCTCCTCCCCCACCAGAAGACACACTAGTTGTATCTGCCACAGAGCTGCCGCCGCCTCCGCTTTGCTTTCCTTGTGTCTGTGAACGTGGCGCTGAGGAGCTTTTGAATGAGTACTTCCAGGAAGGCATGGTCTTGGCTTGTTTACTTGGGCTGACCACTGTGTCTCCCTTCCCTGATGAAGACCCCAGTTTTGGTAGAGGGTTCGGGGTCTGGGTCGGGGTGACGGCTGCACATAGTTTGGCATCCAGAGATGAGGCACTGCTGTGCAGCTCTTGGTCGGGGTTAGAGACCGGGCAGCTCTGAAGGTCCTCCTCAGAGATCCAGGCTCCCAGGCTACGATGTTGGAGCTGATGTCCCTGGACAGGGAGTTCTGTTTGCGGTATGGTGGGTCCCTCCTGGTCCCTCCCTGAGTACAAACGGTTGTGTTCCCTAATGAGCACTGTCATCAGGTGCTGGACCAGAGAGGTGCCTGGATGACATGGACCACATTCATACAGAATACTATTAATTTACAAAGCTTTTTATTTTATTTTTTTTCCAAGTTTTTATGCTACACATTTGGTATGATTAATTTCTATCTAGTTTGTGTTGACTTTTTCCCAAGTCACTGAACATTGTCCATACCTTCCATGATAGTGACTGGGTCCTCCATCTTGGGTCGAAGGATATTTGGTCCAAATACTGTGGCGAGGTTCTGGACGCTCATCTTGTTCTCATTACAGTGGGACTGGACCTCATCAAGGAATCTAAAGAGAGATACAGAGTTAAATACCAGAGCCAAGTTGCAGGAAACATAGTCACAATCTCCCCTTCCTGAGTTGTTTGTGCCAAAATTGAAGAAGTTCCTTTAAGGTGTTACTGAGATATATCGCGTACACGAGAATGGGACAGACAACCTGAAAACATGGTGCCTCTGGCCCTGGCTGTCGCTGGCAGGGAGGCATAAAAAATTATACATGTGTGAATATGTCAGTGGCCCTGTCCTTGTCCCTTTTATGCCTTGGTGTGTATTTCAGATATCACACATTTAACTGAAATGAGAATATCAAAAGACAAAAAAGGCTGTGGACTTACTTGCATATGTACTTGAGGAGATTGTAGTTAGGTAGAGGTAGAGTGCTAACTTGATTTCCAAGCTCCTGGACCCCCTGATAAAAGGCAGATTGTGTCAGTTTTAGACACACAATAACACACACACACACTCACACACACTCTCTCTCTCTCTCTCAGAGGGGGGATACTGCACATACCTCCTCCTCATCTTTGGCCAAAATCTGTGCACAGGTTAGAAAGTCTTCATATTTGGAGAAGGGAATGACTGGTTCAGGCAGCTCTCGCAGGTATAACTTCAGCAAGGACGCCACCGTGTGGACATCTGTGTTACTGCAAGGGAGCACAGAGAAACGCTGTCTACTGCATACTCTTTCATTTAACTTTCAAAAAGCTTGTGTAACCTTGTAACACTCCCCTGTGTCTACCTGTCAAACAGGGGCTTGTCACCGCAGTCGAAGGCCTCCTGCAGCTCTTTGACAAGATTGGCCTGTCCTGGCATCCTAAAGAGACCCTCCTCGTCCAGACCCCTCTCCCTGATGAAGTCCACACACTGCTCCACCAGCAGGGGTGCCAGCCGGGGGCCAAACTTCTTCTCATACTGCACCGTGTCCTCAAGACGCTGGCCAAATATCCCTGGTGAGAGATGGAGGAAACAAAAAATATCTTTGCATTTAATGGAGTGTATTGTAACATTTCACTCCTTGTATTTGAGACATTTTCTGTTTGTGTTGCAGAGATAACACCTTCACCCTTTAATAGCAGACACATGTAAACAGTTTTTATTACATTTTGAACGCACTGACTTAACAAAAAGCTCCAAGACAACCGTCCCTGGTCTCCCCTATATTTTATACTCTTATTTTTATACTGTTATTTGTTCAGCAGCAACAACAGGCCTTTAACGATGAAGCTGACACAAAAATGTTGTCGCTCTCATTCCTAAGAGAATCTTGAATCTGTGTGTCTCAAAGTCAAAGCAGTCTCAGTTGTGGCCCAGTGTCTCACATAAAGCTCCTCCAATCACAGCATGATTGAAACTGTCCTGTCCTTTGCAGGCAGATACGACCTTTGTGTAGAATTTGAAGTGGTTGAGGAGAATGTCAAAGCCTGATTACCTGCGACTGAGAACTGAACCTCAGTGTTATTCCTCATTAAAGATCCTCAAAAGACTCTTATTTTGAATTGGCCATAAACAGAAGAAGAAATGGGTAAACACTACACACTAATTAAGTCATTTAAAAAATATTAGACAAAAAAAGGTTAAGCCTGGTTAATTGGCCAATTAATCACAGTTGTTTGTTACCCGTTGACTGGCTGCAGCAGTCGCAGCTGGCAGAAGGCTCACAATAATCGTGGTAATTCACAGAGCAAGAGCTGCAGAGCAGCAGAGAGCGTTTCTCATAAATCCCAAATCCACATTTCACCAAGTTCATCCATTCTGGCTCAGGCATTTGACTTCCTCTGGTAGATTAACCCTGCATTTACAAAGTCCCGCGGCAAAGAAACCAACTCTTCCGTCCTCTTACTCGACTGTGGCTGAAGCAACCGGCAGCTGACAGAGCAGAGCAATGTGACTGGCAGACGGGGGTCAGTGTGCTGTGACCACAGTGCTGCCGTTAACGACAGGTCTATATGTTGGCGACAGATCTATTCTGGACCGAGAGCTGAGAGACAGACACCCCCTACCCTGAGAATCTGAGAGGGCAGACAGAAATATGACCGAGCCGAGTGACTGATAACAGAGTATTACAACACTTTATAGATGAATGTTACTGATTGTGACGTTTCTCTCCCGCTGTGAAATCATTTTTTAAAAATGTATTGCATCTGTTAAAACAGGGGCATAGGTAGGATTTAGGGACCCTTACCTTCGCCCCCCGCCTCCCATCATCTGTGCCACAGCTGGGCCAGAATTAATCATATTCGTAGTTTTCTACATTTTAAACTTTAAGCAGCGGAAACAAGCAGAACACAACACAGACAGGAGATGATATAAGAGCTGCCTATTTATCTGCCTGGTGAATGTAAATCCAATATTCTTTTAACCCGGTAATGTGAAACTGGGGAATTATGTGAAATAATACTTTAGCCTGCAGGTGTTTACAAATATAAAGACGCATGAATGAACACATTTTGGTCACTAGGGACCAAAAGAGGAGACGCACTGCGTTAACCTGGTTCCTGTTTCTGCCTGTTATTCTATTCATGGCAATGAGCCAAGTCATCTTCGTCTTCTAACCATTTGAATAAAATAAATAATAAAAAATATTCAGTCCACTGCATGATAAGAAATAGTTTTAACTTGTTTGTAAAAAAATAAATAAATACAGACAAACTGAATTTAGATTTTCATATACAAATGTTGAGCAAGGAGATGTGTCATTTTTGTTTGTATAAGAAAAAAAGAGTTGCAACTTGGGAAACAGGTTAAAAATCTTTTTTTAAATTATTATTATGCACTGGACAGAATATTTTTTTCATCCAGATGATCACAGCGGTCTGTGGGGATTGTGGAAATACCTCCAGGATATAGATAAGTGTTAAACAACCTTCTAGGTTTTCAAGGAACTCTGGGTATTTTTCGGAAATGGCAAATGTGCAGCTCTGTGAAATCCAACAGTAATACGTGACGGGCACAAACCACAGTTAGTTTATTAGGATTGTTATGCAGCTACAGAGCTGGATGATGATTCTTGTCATTTAATTCAGCAAAAAATCTTTCACCTTTCACTTTAGGGACTGGCTCTCACCTTGGAGTCCAGTTAGTCTGTCCATTAGTTGACCAACAGACATTTTTTATAACTACAAATTTCAATAAAAAAATACATGACATTTTTCTTAATTGTGAAAATGTGATTTGACTAATGATGAATTTGATTCATCATTAGTCGTAGCTCTAGTAGCTGGCCGTTGCCGTGCCAGCAGAGCTTAAACCCCGGCTGACTAAAAAGTGAAGTTTAAAATGAGACCAGTGACATCATACACTATATCATCGGTGTGTTATTCTACATTTATACCCCTATTAATATACTGCTCCTTTGTAACCCAACACCATGCTGTTCAGCTGCTCCTTGTGTCCCACTTCACACCCAGACAGGCCAGGTTATATTTCTGGCCCCCTGTCAAGTACACTAGTTAGACATCCAGACTGGAGCAGACAGGGTGAGAATTAACCACAGGCTCAGCGCTCCTTGCAGAGGGAAAAGAGACTTTGTAGGAAAAAAAGAAAACTCTTCTTGACCAGATCACAGTGCAAAGGCTAGACTGCATTCAGTACATATACTGTGCTGCTCCTTTATCAAGCTCACCTCAACAGATGCCACCACAAACAGAAACCTAAGAGAAGCACCCGCTCCTCTATTTTTGAATTTAAACCATCACTACACTGGAATAGAAAGAAAACTCTGACCACATTGCTCCAATCAGGTACAGTGGTTTGACACCAGGAATAGAGACATCAGGGTGAGAATAAACTGCAGGCTAAATAAATGAAACACAGTAGGGGGGCTAAGGGGATACTCTGCACGACCGGGCTCGTGTTTGTAACTTATACAGTATAATGAAGATACACCAGGGAGATCTTTTCTTATATCAGCAGCAATATCTTGTTGCAGGAACTGCTGCAAAGAAATGCAAATACTTCCTGGCTAGGACTCAGAAGGAACTGCCTCATCCCAAGTTAAAGAGATGTTTAAATGGTTACTGATGAGGAAAACTGAGTAAAAATCATCAGAACTGCTCCTTTTCAACCTCACTGAGGAAAAACTCTGGCCTTTCCTTTTGTTGGTTTTACTCTGCCTTTTATTATGTGTCCCACCACGTTGTTCATTCTCATGAGGTCAAGTGTGTTCAAGGATGAGAATCTGTGATCATATTTCTCATGTTTCAGGTCAAAGGTTTGGGTTTACCTCCTCCAAACGGCGCCCAGATGACCCGCCGTATGGCCTTGACCCAGTCATCCATGTCTGTCTGGGAGTTTGCCATGAGCAGGAAGGATTCATGGCTGATTGGTGCCCGGTCCTTCTCTCCTGTTCCACCTACAGGGACAAACAAGGGGAGAAAATGAGATTAAAAAAGTAGAGGTAAGTAGAGTCCTAATTTTTTTTACTACAGCCTAAAAGCATCAATCTGTGTTATATACCTGTATTAATTATGTTTCAGGGACCTTATTGGATAAGCAGGATTGGAGGTTGCCACTGTGGCAGCTAGTCTGTGTTTGCACTTTCTGTGTGTGATAGAGAAATGCTGGATTTACAGTACCAGTTTCTCAAAATGTGAAAGTTTGTCCAAACTTTTGTCTGACACAGAGAAAAAGCAATACGTGAATAGGCGAATGTGGCTTGACATGTAAAGCGCTTTGAGTGGTTGATAAGATTAGAAAACCACCAATTAATTCACATATAGATGCCTGAATTTCACCAGACAATGAAATTAAATGGAGAAAAAAATGGTTTTAATGAACATATAATAAATGTTTTAAGACAGAAGAAGAAAGAAAAAAAAAATTAATTAATCTAATGCCCACCCAGCTGGTTTTGTCTGAGATTGACACCAGGTTAAATCCAATGTGCTATAAGGGCTTCTCACCACTAGATGGCACATTTGCTGCACGTTGAATGCTCTAGATTTGTACTCTAACCCTCCTGTCCTGTAATCTGTAATTACAGCACCAGTAAATGCAGTTCACATTTTCCTGTAAGGCATTTAGCTGACACTAAGAATATGTTGTGCCTGATGTATATATATATTTTTGACTCATAAACATTAGCAAAGCTCACAGCTGCCCGCCAACACATGACACAAAACATTTCAGAGTGATGTTGGAAAATTAGACATCTTTTTCTTTTAAAACAAAAAGGTGTGACACATGATCAGCTGCTACACAGAAACCACAACAGACAGTAAATACACTATATAATCCAACACCACTGTGTATACCGTACACTGTGTTCCTCTGTTATACATTTAAATAATCTGGAGGGAATGAACTGCGTTTTCTGGCCCATCCATTAGTGTTGGATGGTGTTGTTGCCACAGTCACAGTCAGTGTTGTCACAGTCATTTAGCTCTGAGAAGGGAATCCAAATATAAACAGTGGTGCCATAAAGTTAAGTGCCATTGTCACCCAGCTTTGCAAACTCACACTGTCATGATGAACAACACACTGCAGCCTCTCCTCACATGTGCTCCACTGTCTTGAAATACTGAACCGAGGATTTATAATTATTTGATATTTTGGCCTCGTTAATTCATATGTAGAATAGAGAATAGAGTCCTTTAATTCATCCTCAGGAAAAGAGGCATTTAAATGTGTGAATTAAAAAAAAAAACAGAGGAGACTCAGACATCAAGGAGCCTGAGCACATCCAATACTTCCTCTTCAGTGAATCATGACCTGATAAGACACACGCACGCAGAGCCATTTAAAATCAATCTCAACATAGCTGACAGACACCAAAATCATTGGAACATCCAAGCCTGGATGGATGAGCATTACAAAGGTCCCTTTTGGAGCCAATTAAGATAACGGTGTCTGCAGGGTTTACAGAGGCAAACATTAAACTGAGTTGTCCTCTCAAAGTCCCAGTGATGAATTTGATTTTAGCTCCTCCTCACGCCGATGAGACGGAGGTTGACATTTGAGGCTGCGAGGAGGTGGAAGTGTTTACAGCATGGCTGCATAAAGCTGCTGCCTTTTGAGTGTCTGTTTATTGAAGATATATTCTTGATAATTATAGCTGCAGTTCTTAAATGTCAGACGGCTCATAGACACTGTTGAATGGGAGATTAGGAGTGGAAAGGAAGGGAGGGAGGGGGAGACAGGTAGTTTTTAAAAGTGAACTTATTAAATCGTCAGTATGGGATGGGATATTTGGAGTCGGCATGAGAGAGCAGTTAGGTGAGGTCTCACTAGGGCAGTCTGGGTAATTTTCACATAAAACCTTAACTGTCTCCATGGAGCTGATTTGAGCACTAACGAACTACATTTCAATCACATTTTAATTTTAGTCATTGCTTTCAACTTTGTTATTTTAACAAGGATGAAATTTGTTAGTTAGCATTCAAAACCATGACGCGTTGCTATCATGCCTATCCTAATGAATAGTATTAAATATAGTTTATTACAAATATTAGGCTACTTATTGAAAAAGTAATTACGTTACTCAATTGTTTATACCACACGGAAAGACATTTGTTTCGTTAGCAGAAAGCCTACATGTTGGAGCTATTTACTAAGCTAGCTGTTGACTAACCATCAACAGCTAGCTAAACGTTAGCCCTGTCGACTACATGACGCACTGTCAAAGTCCCGTCCTCACAAGCTACACTGTTCGTATCCCTCCAACTCTGAACAAAACCAGGTGATTCCTTAACGTAGCTTTACCCATGGCTAATATTAGCAAGTTGGCTAACAACACGCAACATGTACAGAGGGACCAGGAGGCTAATTTCTCATTACCTCAATCGCCTGTGCCAAGCTAACACGTCATGCTACATTAACATTCCCTAAAAACAGAATACCATAATATCAGATCAGACATCGACCCACCCCTCCCTCTCAAAAAACATCAAAGTAACAGGGTGTTACCAGAATAAGTCGCCGTACTTACTAAATTTCAAATCATAATGAACAGGTCTATTCAAGCACTACTGACCTAACAAACAGCCGTGCAGTTATTCTACACTATTGAGTGTGTTGGTGTGTCTTGTCCCTCAGGCTTCGTCCTGTATTAATAATGTGACTGATGATTGGGCTCTGTGAATTGGTTGGGGATTAACTTTATACAACCTCTGCGCAGCTTGTTATTGGTATATATGAGAGAATGAGACTGAGACAGATATAGAGATACAGGGAAAGTTAATGAACAAGACAGAGAGACATAGCAACAGGGGGAGAGAGAGAGAGAGAGAGAGAGAGAGACACAGACAACGGAGGTGCAGTCAGTGCAGCCAGTAGCACTGATGATACTCAATGTGCAGTCACGTATAACTTCATGTTCAGTCTCATGTTTTCATGACGCATGATCTGCAAATGCACACCATCTTATCTTATATATCAGTTTACAGGAATCACTAATGTTGAGTAGGTAGTATGACGAGCTGTTGGTATAGCGTTGTCCAGATTGGATTAGTTTTGCAGGACAGTGGTGGTAATATGATTAGTGTATTAAAAGCTGTGGATGGAACAATAAAAAGGGAGGGGAGGCAAAAGTATGAAATCATAAAAAATACCTGATAAACTTGAAAAATACATATTAACCAGACCAGTGATGCTCGTGGATAACCTCCTAGTGAAAACAGCCAAAGACCCATTACTTCCTGACCTTGCTGTCACTAAGATCTAACCTCGCGTTTTTCATCCAGCATGCACCGCTGTGGACAAAACAAGCTCCCGCCACAATATTTCTATTGTAAGTGTGACACACAGGACAGTAGACACTGAACCACAGTCATATTGTAGCAGTAGCTGTGTGTATAAGTGACCTGTCAATCATGCAAATAACTGCCAAGTAAAGTAGCTGTTGGCTGTTTAAAAAGGATATTGTGAACAGTTGACATTAATTTGATATAAGACTCGAGCAAAAAGGGGAAGGAGAAATAGAAGAGCAAACCAGAACATAATAAAGTTGCTAGATAGGGATCAACCAAATATTTGCACATTCAAACATTTTGCAGAAGTAGATAGGTTTCTGGTACACCTCATTTTGCAGCAAAACTTTGCACAAAAATTCACTCTGCAGTCTGTTTCTATCTGCACTAATCCATAGAACATCTGAAAATACATCCTTTAAGAGTACATTTTATTCAAATGTGTAATAATCTCAATATATGATGTATTTTGCATATAAGCAACAGGAGTCAGTACCTTAATACTATGCAAAAAAAAAAAAATAGAAGCCATAAATAAGAGTTTGTTCTAAGCTGTAGATCCCATCAGTCTCAAAGCTACTCAGGCGCTCCACTTCAGTCTCTGCTACTCTTGTAAAAAATCTCCAGCATCTGTTTCCCGTTACCTTGGAGATGTTGTTTCTTCAGTCTGTCCGGCTTGCAGCAGACCGGCCCCATGTCTGAGTGAGCGGTGCAGGCTGGAGCTGGGACTGGCTCTGGCCTAAAGCTGCAGCATGAAGAAGCGGCTTCTCCGCCGGCACAAAGCCTGTTTGGAAGCAGATCAGTACGCAGGTAGCACTGACGGCCAGAACCTGCCAGTGAGGCATGCTCGATGCCAGCGGAAACAAAACCCGTCAAACGAGTCCCACTTCTTGCTCCTCACTCGTTTATTCTGTCCATTCATTCACTCTTCTCTTCCTGTCTCTTTCTCATTCAACAGTGTGGGCAGCAGGTCCGTTCCCTCAGCTCCCCTGGGGAGAAGCAAATCCCTGAGGAGGAGTGTAACAAGGCTTTCTCTCTCTCTGTCTGTCCCTCTCTCTCGCTCTCTCTCTCCCTGAGTGTGTGTGTGTGTGTGTGTGCAGCAACTTGGAGATGGGCTGTCCTCCAATCTTTGCCAAACAAACTTGTACACACACACACACACACACACACACACACACACACACAATGCCAATCAATCTCTGTGAGATACAGGCAGTACAGACTTCGGATTCTTCCTTCAGTCAGATAGGATCTAGGCTCATATAGACCTGCATGAGCGCAATAATCTGTGACTTTCTGTATTTAAAAATCAAATTTTCTGCTTTCTATCACAGATTGCTGCAGTAAAACCTAAAAGGGATTCAACCTGTAACCAGTTCATGAAGACAGTGGGTTGAGTATCTTATTTTTATCTTATCTTATGATGATAACAGCACGTCAAACACTGCCAAAGACCGTACTCTCCGATCTTCATAGCTTTATCTAAATTGATAAACAAGCACAGTCATAACTTTTCTAAATATTTACCAATCACAAGCAGAAGCTGTCTGAGGTTGGTTTTTTTGTAAATGGTTGCAATAAGCAGTGACGTTGGGAATAAACTCAAGAAAAACTAGGTTGTTGTAAAAAAAAAAAAAAAGCAGCAAAAACCACAACAGCTGAACAT